ATCTATATCCATATATAGATATATATAGATTGATATATACAGCATGAAGGAATATGAATATAACAGATAATTAGTCCATACAGCAGTATATAGGACTCAGTTCAACTCACTTCCATAGAACCATCAATATACTGGAAGTCTTTCAACTCTTGAGGGCTGCTGGGTCCACGGTCAAGAAAGCAAACAACTGAGTCTTCTCTAGGACAATGCTTGGACACAGGGAGCAAAAAGCAGGGCGGGTCACCAACAGTCAGCAGCTCAGGAACTTAGCGAAGCAGACCCAAGTGGAATATTGAACACAAGCAATGCAAGACAACAGGATCCACCAGCCTCAAGCTCAAACGATTTATACACCAGCAGCATGGCGAAGCAGGTCTTGAAGGAACCTCAAGCTCTAGCAACATGATCCATGGGTCGGCTGTCCCATTGGGAGTGTAGCTCACAAGTTGAGGCAAAGAATTAGCTAAAGCAGCCACACTCTGGTCCAATCACCAGAGAGCAAGAGAGAGAGAGGCAGGCCTTGCTGAGCCATTTATCTCTCTGCTCTCCAATCAACTACGACCTTATTAATCCCACATGCTCCTATTTGTCAGGTTGGCACAAGAAACCTACCTATCACAGCAACATGTGTACAAGTGTGCTTAACAATGGATGTATGGATTGTTAGAAAAGCTGTAAGAACCCCCAATAAATGATTAAAAAGAAAGGAAAATAGATCAATTGAACTTTACAAAAATTTTTAAGTGTTTTCAAAAGGCTTTGTAAAGAGAATGAAAATGCATACATCAGAATCAGACTTTTGTAAATCAAAAGTCTGACAAACAAGTAGTATGTAGACTACATAATGAACTCTCAAAACTGATTCGTAAAGAAAAAATCAAATCTGAAAATGGGCAAAAGGCATCAGGAGGCATTTTACCAAAGAAGGTATGCAGATGGAAAACAGGCACGAGAGAGGCCCAAGATCATTAGCCACAGCAGAAATGCACATGAAAACAGCACTGAAATCCCCACGTTGCTATAAGAATGGCTAAAATGGAAACAACCGGAAAACAGTGACTGTGCCAAATGCGCGAGAAAATGACAGATCTTGGACCACTTTATACATAACTGGTTAAGATGTAAAAATGTACATGCCCTTAGAAATCAGCTTGGTAGTTTCTCTAAAAATGAAAGCATGACTCAGCAACTCCTGGGCATCTACACTTGTGTTTACATGAAACTATGTTTTGTACAAAAGCTACACACTAATATTTATAGCAGCTTTATTTGTAAGAGCCCCAAACTGGAAATTACCCCAATCTCTTTCAGCAGGTGAATGTTTACACAACCTGTGACACATCTTCCATACCATACCATGGACTCACTAACAAAAAAGAACAACCTTACAAAAGGGGGAGGAGGGGGACAACCTTTGGATGACTCTCCAGAAATGTATGCTGAATGAGAAAGATCACCTACTGTATCATTCTGCTTAGGTATGAATCATTTTTGAAATGATAACAGTTACGGACTTGGAGACTAGACTAACGGTTGCCAGGGGTTAAGGAGAGACTAGGGAAGTAAGTGTAATTACAAAGAGAGCAGCATGAGGTAGCCTAGTGGTGGTGGAAATGTTCTTGACTGTACCAAGGTCAATTTTGTTGTGTCAGTCTACATAGCTTTGCATTATGTTACCATGGGGGGTGGGGGTGGGGAGGCTGAGTAACAGTACATTCATCTTTCTGTATTCTTTCTTACAACTGCATGTTAATGTACACTTATCTTCAAAATTTCATTAAGGGAAAAAAGCAGCAGGTAGATGTTGAATTCGGCCGTTTTGTCATACGCACATTCCAGTGGGTTCCCAGAGACAGTGGGTATCAGACATAGAAAAGATGCTTGGTAGATGCTTGCTGAATGAATACATTTGAAAAGATTTTACTTTAGTTCCATCTTATAGCTGAGAGGACCCAATGGGATTTGTGACTCTCTCCAAACACCGGCAATTAAATTGCACTGGAAAGGACTTTAGTGGTACAACAGTTAAGCAGTTGGCTGCTAACTGAAAGTTTAGTAGTTCTAAGCCAACAATAACTCGCTTGGAGAAAGATATGGCAATCTGTTTCCATAAGGAAATGTTTCCATAAGGAAATCTGTTTCCATAAAGCCTGGGGAAAACTATGGGGAGTTCTACTCTGCTCCATAGGATTGCTGTGAAATGAAATCACCTTGATACCAAGGGATTTGGGGTTTGTTTGATTTGTTGTTAAATTCAAGGTCAATTTTCCTTATGATGACATCTTTATATGCTCTCTTTTATGAAAGGGATGGAATTCATTCAAACTTCACAGGTCTATTTTATATCAAGACAGATTTAATTCTGTCCCTAAAAAGATTTCTTTTCTAGATTATCACTTTTAGTTCCATAACTGAAATCTCTCAACAAATAGTCTATCTACCAGAGGTATGTCTTTATCATCCCAGCTAGTTGTAACCCTCTACATTCAAATTTATACCTCTGCCAATTGTTCAGCCCAGGATTGTTTTTCCTAAAAGGTTCGTTGGATCTTATTTGAGCCATGATCTCAATCTTCACCTTCCCTATAGCATGGGAACTTCATTGACAATTCATTTGGGGCTAATACTTTACTTCTATTTCCCCCCAGATAACATCTAAGTCCACTTCCAGTTCTGTAATTTGGGGGTTTAAGATTTCTCGGCCTTCTCTCATGTCCATCACAGGTATACATTCTGTAGTCCAGTGAGTGAGTCCCAGGGTCTTTGCAAGCAAAGACGATCACTTCTGGCTTTCCTTTGCTTCCCCTAAACCCTCGGACTCGGTAAGAATCAGCTATGACTGGATTCCGCTCTTGCCAGCCTCTCCCCATAAGAAGTTGCTTTTGAAGAACGGCATGAGAAAGAACCATCACTGGGGTACTTACTGAACAGGTTATTCCAGTTCATATTTGCCTTTTCCTCAGACTCCATATGTTGGAAATGGAGTATCTTATGATGATCGAGGTTTTTTAGCAATTCTTCACAGTAAAATGGAATCCCACAGCTTCCCTCTACCAGGTACCTGGAGTGAATAAAAAAGATCATATTTTAGGAAGTGTGGTAGTTACATTATAGTCTATGAATTTGTTTCTCTAGTCTACCCAGACTAACACATTATG